GTGCGGAACCTGCTTCTGGAAGCCCCACTGGTGGGCGATGCCATCCTCGGCAACCAGTCCACGCTCCGCATCCGAAGCGACTCCTGGTCCAAGGCCGAAGCGGACTCTCGCTTCCTGCGGACGAACGATCTGGGCCCCCTAGACGCCAGGTACTTCCCGAACACGCCGGGCGCCGAAGGCAGCGGCATCTTCAACTTGGTCCAGACCCAGTTCACTCCCGTCGTGATCCGGAACCTGCTCTGCCAGACTCCGCTCTCCGCCCAACCCATCCTGGGCAACGGCAGCACCCTGCAAATCAGCTGCGACTGCTGGTCCAAGGGTCAATCGGACGGAAGGTATCCGTTGATTGCGAACTTTAACTCCCTGAGCCAGCGTGTCACGGACCTGGAGAACGCCCCCGGAGTGGATCCCACGGCAGACCTGACGGTCAACAGCCTCACGGCCACCAGCTTCGTGGACACGCCACTGCTGCAGAGTGCTGCCGCGGACCTGCAGATCCGGAACGCCACCACCACCATCCGTGCCGAAGACGGCACCCTGCTGGCCAGCTTCGCGACTGGCAGCATAGGCCTGGAGCAGGACATCACCGTCCGGGTCAACCGGACCCTCAACGCCACCACGCCGGATTTCGCCCAGTTCTTTGTAGGCTCCACGGCAGCCACCGGGACCTTTGCGAGCAGCAGCTCCATCACGGCCACGCAACAGATCGAGAGCGACCTGCGGGTGCAGGCACCGCTGGTGCGCAGCGAGCCGGCGGCACCGCTGCTCACGATCCAGGGCGGCACCAACGGAGTGCTCGTGGACGACACCCTGCGCATCAACGGGGTCCTCGCCCCCGAGGCGTCGCTGCCCTTCCTGAGCCTGTCGGGCGGCACCAGCGGCGTGCAGGTGCTCAGTCCGCTGCTGGAGCAGATCGCGGTGGGGCCCACCAACGGCACTGTCGGGGTGGTGGTGCGGAATGCTGCGGCGACGGGAGAGGCTTCTTTGCTGCTAGACGCCAACAACCAGAACGACGTGGCCGAACTGAAGGTGCTGGCGGGCGGGGGCGTGCAGTTGAACAGCCTCTTCCAGTTCATCTCC